AGCATAGAAAAATAGAGCTTCATTTTCTCTATCATCCTATAGAAAAAGAAAATTTACTCAAGCCTTTTATAAGAAAATAAGATACCTCCGCCACTACTTTTGGGTACCCCTAAGTATATATTCGTTTTGATTATGCGAATTATTTTTTTAATACTTCATTATTTTTTCAGTATTTAGGTAAGTCTACGAAGAGAAAACTCATTGAGATTTCCTCATATCTGGTAAGAAAAACATATAGTAAAAATTTAGTTTCATTAGCATGAGCGAGTTCTTTTCTGAAATGCTGCTACTTTATTAAGAGAAACAACCTACGTTGAGTTGACCATTTATCAATACCATCCTTTCCTGGAGTCCATTTCTTTTTGTCTTTCCATCCACCTGGTGGAATATCATTAGGTACATTTTCTTGAATTGTATCTGTTGGATGATCTAGAGTATAATAAACCAAGCAAAAACTATATGAAGGTGACAACAAACAAAACTAAATGAAACTCACTGGTAATTTCAATTGAACTTTCTGTATAACTATCAAGCATTTCAGTATGCTTCGATATATCACCAAATGACTTTAAAAGATCAAGTGCAGAAGATTGATTCGAGTTAGTTTGAATCGAAGAAGTTTTGATGGGTGTCGAGGAATATGTAGAAAGTTTAGATGGTACCATTGTTGAATGTTGTTCAGATGATGTTTGAATAACAGGTATGTTTTTGTCGACATTAATCAAATCATTACACAATGTAGCTGTTTCATTATGACGATAAGTCGGTGTAAGTAAAGGTACCGATAGAATTGGTGATAATGTAAGAGAATTAGTAGCAGCATTATTAAAATCCATTGGTTCTTCCATATCATCAAACGATGAAGCAGATTTTGCACAAATAGGAAAGTTATCAAAAGCTGAAGTAACAGTTGGTACATCAGCTTGCTTATGTTCTGTTGGTTCACGTAAATCAGATGGATGAACAGGTGATGAGGTTATTTCAACAAGATCAATAAGATTTTCATCAGTTGTCAACAATGGAATTAGTGGTGATTCGGTATTCTACAAATAGTATGAAAAATATTCCTGAATAATCAAAGTATGTTGCATCGTTTTAAATTCAAAACTTAAACATAATGTACACATAGTATCGAATTCTATGTCTTAAACTATGGAAAACATGGATTATAATATATAACATTAGAAGATTTCAAAATTTTTTGTATTGATGTCAAGGATCATTAAGTTTTATTTATATCTGATACGATTTCTCATACTATTTCCAAGTTATTCATCATTCCTATATGAGCAATAACATTAAAAAAACTCACTTCAATATTCATTGGTGAACAAGCAATTACATCATGATTAGTTATTTTTGTAGTAGTCACGAGATCAGGTGCAGATACAGCAATACAATTTGTTGTATGTGTTAACGGCAATGTACCAATGTTTGAAGTAGTATTTGAAGTAGTAATAGTAGATCTTGTAGAAGTAAATGTAATACAATCAGTTGTATTAGCATCAACACTATTTCTTGAAGTAGTTATTGTCGGATGCATATCAATTTCCACATTGTTTGAATTTTTTGATTCATTATTTGAAGTTTGATTACATGAAGGAATAATATTATTGTTGTTGTTCGATGATAACATGTTTTGAAAATGAGCAATTCCTACTTCCACGTTCTAAATAAATTATTTGGATGAGAAAAAATTATCGCAAAATATAAAGCGTTATTAGAATCAGAACCAAGTATAAAGAGTAAACATAAATTTTAAAGAATTTCATGTAAATATATTTGAAATATCATTAGTGAAAATACATTATCACCTGAAGATTATTTTGAACTGATATAAAGTCATTTTAATATGTAAGTTTTTATTTTTAAAATTTTCTTTAAAAATATATGTCAAGCTTACCGATATTAATTCAGTGTCAATATGAGTACGTTTTGATGGTGTTATGGTAAAACTTGAACTGGGTGAAATGATAACTTCGTTTCGTTTTACTAGTGTAGTTAACTTTCGTTTCAAACCATGCTCAATAGAGCAAACTTCTTCAAGTTGACAGGTTTGAATTTGATTCATTACATAACTATTCAAATTATCATGTTGTTCATGATCAACTGGATTACGATAATTAATAAATTTCCATCGAACTTTACCATTCAATTGAGGTTTTTCAATTAAACCATCACGTTCTAATTTTTCAATACAAATACGTAATTCGGAATATTTTTCCGGTGCATAATTGTGATAATATTTAGCATAAACATTTGGGTTGCTAATTAGATAATTGATTAACGAATCAGTCATTACTGTAAGATCACTTGGATAGGCCAATTCCTCGTACAATTGTTCATATTCTTGTACACTAATACCAACGTACTCATGTAAAGCAATTTTTAAAGATTCTGAATGTAATATTTCTGTTAGTGATACTTTCAATAAACCACTATTCTTCGGTAAATAATTACCTTGTTTAATAAGACCACAATCGATTAAAGTATCGACTGCTTTTGCTCCTCGTTCAGTAGTTTTACTATTTGTTGACTTTTTTGAGCTTTGGCAAAAGATTCCAGCCCATGATGGTGCATCTTTTTTGTTGGCAATCCATACACGTTTGAGTACTGGACTAGGCAATTTAAATATCAATGCTGTATCTGAATCTTCTGATTTAATTGTACTATAATAATAAAGAGACAAGATTAATTGTGAATAAGAATTACTAAAATGCCAAGACATTTAGTCAAGTTTAATAATCTGTACCTTTAAAGAATCTTTTAATAAGAAAAATACTTCACACGAAAATAATTTCTACTACAGTTCAAATCTCTCTTAGATTTCTTATTGAAAGAAAATTAATATTAACCTTAATATTAATTGTTTTCGAGCCTCTTCAATTTTTCTAGAACTATTTGTTAAACGTGTTCTAATAATAGCATCAAGACCAGATGAATCAAATATTGCAAGTTGGATGTCTTGCATGTATTTGAACATATTATATCCAGCTCTAACAGCTTCTTTTGTTACATCAATGATAAATTTTCCTTGAACAACTTCGGTATCTCCAACTTTAATTGTTTCACTTTTGAAATAATCTTTCATATAATTATGAACAACGGTTTTTGCTTTTTCCATAAATTTCATTGATAATCCATTTATAGAATTTGCTGTTCCACTACCTTCACGAAAGGATACATAATTAAATAAATCATATTTATTGCTTGTTAATAAGTGAATAGCTATAAAAAACAAATGAGTATTCGCTACTAAACGTGGCAGTTTTTGACCAGTTTTTGTATATAAAGCTCTGACATGCTGTGCACGGTTCAGGTCCTCGGATTTTGCCATATCTTGATTGATTAACTTTTGAAGAACACCGGAGGCACTAAGAGTAGAACCATCATCTTCAATATCGATTGTTCGACGTTTAGTTCGAGTATTTTCTGTAGAAACCAATTCATAAGACATTGGCAACATATTGTCATCGATAAAACTTCTTCTTTCTCTTTGATATTGAGGTAATTGTTCTATTTAAAAAAAAAAAGAAACAAATATAAGAAACAGAATTATAGTAAGAGCCGTTGGCAAATGTAATAGTTGTAACCCTGATTGTGCATTTTATAAAACTGATGTTGAGTTTCAATTTAAGATTTTTACAGTTGTGCTATATGTGAAATTTGAAATTATTTCCTGAAATCAATTTTAGTTATTAAATTATTGAATATTTGAAGTTCAGTTATTCAAATGTCCAACTATTCAATGTGAGTTTCTTCAAGACATAAAGAAAGACAGATTTATTATGTACTTGGAGACGAGCACCAATCGTGATTCATTCGAAACAATACTCATCTCCACACTACGATGTTGATATAGAAGAATAGCATGCAGTCAAAAACAATTTTGAATAGTTGAATATTCATAGTTTAATTATTCAATTATACAATATTTGGAAGCTTTAATACTCAAATTATCTTTCTCAATTATCGATGATTTCATTAATGGAATTCAAAATCTAATTATTACTTATAGATTTTAATTCAATTTTTTATTTATTTTGAAAGATGCTTCCAAATTGTAGCCTAAATCTTTCTCATGAAGTAATATAGTCCTCTATTCTACATATATCAGCTACATTTCTATTTATGAAAACATGCTAATGTGAACAAACAACCAAGAAGTTATGATTTGGTCATTTTTGATAATTTGCGACTCTAGAATCAAATGATTTGTTGTAAAAAAATTGGTTACACTGATAAATTTCTCAATTGTCTTGATATAAAACGAGATTCTGAAGATTTTTCATTAAAAAAGTTACCTTGTGGTTCAGTATCAAGATCGGATTGAAGCTTTTCAAAACGGAATTGCACCACATAATCACAATTTACTAATAATGAAATAACAGTACTAATATCAAGGGGGAATCAGCAGAGACTTCAGCCGTGAAGTCTCATGAAGTCTTGTAAGTCTTTTGAAGTCTTCTGAAGTCTCTTGAAGTCTTCTGAAGTCTCTTGAAGTCTTTTGAAGTCTTATGAATTATCATAAAGTCTCATGAAGTCTCTTGAAGTCACTTGAAGTCTCTTGAAGTCTCTTGAAGTCTCTTGAAGTCTCATGAAATCTAATGAAGTCTCATGAATTCTTTTGAAATACATTTAGTGCATGAAAATTCATAAGAAACCAATGAAATTGTCTTGTTTTCGACGATTTTATTTTAGCAGAAAGGTGAACTATTTATTGTTTGTTTTTCAATG